CCTTCCCTTCCCCTCCCTCCCCCTGCCCCCTCCAGAATGACAGCCGTGCAGTTACGTGCGGGCAAAAGTGTTGGTTTCGAGCTCCGCAAGAGGACCAGGGGCTGAGGAGGGAAGAGGTGGTCCATCCTCGTTGCTGCGCGGCGGTTCCGGGAAGGGCGGATGGACGGAGAGAGAAGCCTGTGCGCCTTTCGAGCCGGGCGCCTCGCGAGAAGGACCGGTGCTGAGCAGGGTTGGGCGGGCTTGGCTTCTCCCCTGCCTTTGGGAACCGGGCTGCGGCGGTAGCGGGGATGAGCGGCAGCGCTGAAGGCGGCAGAGCCAGCCGGAGAGCTAGGCGCCTGGGCACCGCTGCGCCTCCTCCCCCACCTGGCATCGCAGCGGCGCTGGCTTCAGTAATGAACTTGTCACCCTGCGGCTGACGCATTGCTCGCCGTGCCCGCGGCCCGAGGGAGGAGGCGAAGGACTGTAGCGAGCTAGACCTTCCCCGCCAGGTTCCAAAGGGTCTCGGTCAGGCCCCTGGCCCCCCCAGCCCGCTCGCTTGCATAGGCTTCAGAGGGAGTGAGGAGACAAGGCCTCCTCCTCTCCTTCCGCATGTGGACACTGAGGGGCCGACCCGCTTCGGCCTCCCCGAGTCCTAAAGGTGAGTCCCTGATCTGGGACTCGGAGGTGTCTCCTCGCCGCCGGCGCTGCAATGCAGAAGGGGCTTCTCCGGCGGCAGCTCTTACGCAACGGTCGCCCGCCCGCTTCGGTAGGCGAAGATTCGGGAGGGGGCGAGGCGTCCATCAGCCTCCCGTGCCTGCCCTTCTCTCTCGCCCCGTTGGGGATCACAAAAGCGCGATTGTCTGAAGGAAACTGCACATAGTGAGGCTGTGACAAAAATGCCTCCGCCCCCCAGAAAGAGGAACTAACAGATTTTTGGTCGACATTAGGATGGGTTTCTGTGAATACACAGACAAGTGGGTGGTGTTGATGTTTTCAGTTTGGGGGAGGGGCCCTGAAAAATTATATATTTTAATCTCATGTCCTTTTGTTACTCAGAATAACCGGAACCATGTTTTCTGGAGTGAGGGAGAAAAATAACCCTATGAAGTCAAGCCGCAGATAGTAAAGATGTGGGACAAGCTAGAAAAGAAGGGTTTGATGCATTAGAGGGCCTGCTGATGTGATGTTTCCTAAATTTTTAGCAAAATATCTGTCACAATGGGCTTGACAAATGTAGTAACAAAATAATCAGTCAATAGACAATATTTAAGAAGGCAGATTAAAGACATGAGGGGCTGATGGTTAGAAGATTAAGGCATACTATTATTTTTGGAGGAGACCTTATGTCTCTGTTCACTTTCAAGAAACTGTACATGGATTTTTAGTAAGCCAAAGGAAACACTAGTATTTGGGCCAGTTTCATCCCTGCCTTCACAGAGCATTTCCTCCTTTTCTCTGTGTTGGAGGGAGAACAGAGAGAGAGCCAACGAAATAGCGAAGGAGACAGGATTGTCTGCTGAAAGCAAAATATCAGTGCTTGAGGGTGGCTTACAACATTATCATAAGCTATGTCAACTGCAGCATGAATGAAAATGCTCCAGGAGAATGAGTGGCATTTGTAAGTTGAGCAGGTTTTGATTTAAGCAATGAAGTCTTGCTTAATTTTCTATAAAATTCTCTATAGCTGTGGTACTATCAGGGGAGAACTTCCAGGACCCCATCCAAGTAGAATGAGCAGGACAGCCCTTAAATGGAATAGGGCTGTTTACCACATTTTGAAGTAATATACATTTAAAGGGCCTACTTTGTAAGACCATTAAGTCTATAATTACTCAAGTCTATCACTGAAAGCTAATAGATCTTAAAAGAAGCACCTGCATTCATTGCATAAGCAGTATATGTTGGCAGCGATACCACCTATAACAATACAAATTTTCTTTCAGTACTGGCACAAAGGATGTTTCCATTGTGAGGTCTGCAAAATGGCTCTAAATATGAACAACTACAAAGGATATGAGAAGAAGCCTTACTGCAATGCGTAAGTGTCAAGAACCTTAACTTAAAGAAAAGTACTCATACTGAGGCTAATTCATGGGGCAGCACCTAGCTGACTTGGTGACCCTGAAAAAAAGATAAGCAGGATCAAACCTAGTTACTACTTGGATGGGATACAATCAGGAAATCTCAGTGCTATAGGCTATATAGAGAAGTAAAAAAACCAAAAACATTCCAGAAAAAGGGCATGGCAAACCACTTCTGTATTGTTGCCAAGATCTACATATATGTGTTATTGAAGTCACCAGCAGTCAAACTTGACTTGATGAAGACTTTACCTTAGTTGTACTGACAGGGTGGGCATTTGCTTTGACAGATATATTATCAAACGGCAACTTCTTAAATTATTGGGTTGGATCCCAGTGAAGCTCTTCCGTTAGTGTGAAGTCTTTATTGTCCACAGAAAGCATCTTTTTCATTTAAGCAGAAACACTTTGTGTCAGAATGATGACCTCCAAATCCAGAAGGATTGATTACAGTTTGTACAAGAATTTGCACAAGTTCTCAAGAACTTTTTATGACTCTATTAGAATGATATGCTATAACATTTCTTAACTACTGAAGAGTACCAATATAGTTTCCACTCATGATTTTGGAACCAACCCTATGAAATTAGTAAATATGTTTTATGTATTTTATGAAATATTTTTTTAAAAGTATATCATGGAAAACCTCAATTG